AGTTTGATGCAATGTTCCATTGAACGAGAAAATTCTCATAGCTAAATAAAACTAAACTTTATACCTTCATTTCATCACACGACACGTAATTGATTGTGAAATTTTAACTTGTTTGACGTTGTTTGAAGTTGAATAATATATCCTATTCTTTTCAATTTTTTAGACGTACGTAAATTTCCAAAAAACGAACTTTAAAACATACGGACTAATACTTCAAAGAGGTTGGTGAGAGGTAGACGTTTGACCGTCCCTCTGCCGCCTCACACTTGTCTAGAACTCATCATCGCTCTCTTTGCTCCACTACGCCGCTCGCGCCTCGCCTTCCTCCCACGTGGCGCGCGCGCGTCGCTCGACGCCCTCCGCCGCCTCTGCGTCGCGACGCATCGTCCGCCGCGCGGCGCCGTTCATTCCACTTTAATACGGTTTAGGCGGCCGCCACCGCCGCCGATGAATTATGACCGTCTCCGCGACCGAGCCGCGGCTCCATAAGTCACCCGCGAGACAGGAAGGGAGGAAGCGACCCTTCAATTACGGACGCCCCCATTATGTCCTTACGCACTTCGCAGCGAGCGGCGCGGCGCGGCGCGGCGTGGCGGGGCGCGGAGCGGCGTGTGACGTCAGCCCGCGCGCGCGCGTGCGCGCGCCTCGGCGCGTAATTGCGTTTAGATGTTGTTTAAATTGAGACGGCGGACGGGCCCATACGTCAGCGGCGTCGCGCGAGCGGGCCGAGGAGGGTTCTGGAATCCCACGCCAGTTGAGCGCCGCGCCGCGCCGCGCCGCGGGACGCGATGGCCGGGTGAGGTGGTGTCACAGGCTTGGGGCTGAGTGAAAAATCGAACCGGCGGTTCCAGAACGGAGGTGTTGAGAAAGTTCTGCTTAACATGATACTTTATACATTGCGGAATGTTTCGTACCTCAATTTGAGTCTCAAGAATAATTGAATGAAAATTTAATGAAAATTCATTGCATGGAATCAGTTGTTATTAAATGTAAGATCTACCGTGCCACGAAGAACTTAGTGTTGGAGTTATAACTAAAATATCCAATTCAATTAAAGTATTTAAGTCATATACTCAATGAGTAACAAGCAGGATTTGCTTTTATGTTTATTTTTCTTGTAGATATCCGTCTAATACGATATTCTTTAAGGTATACAACTGTGATTATTTCTTCTAATTGTACTGAATCATCCTCCCCACGTAAAATTCGCATACGTGCTTTGCAGACCAAATTATAATAACGTTATGAGTCGATTTTCGAGGACACATCTATCAAATACGTGCCTTGAGCGACCATGAATAAAATGCGACTTCCTTCCTGACTGTACTCCTCAGGTATCTATAACAGAAACTAAGTTCCCATTTCTGCACTTCGACTCTTCGACGTTGGAGCTATTGTATAGGTGTGAGTGATTGGATTTCACGTTCCTTCCTTCTCTTAAGAGTTTAAATGAAGTCAACATCGAAGACTTGTTACATTATTTTCTTATATTTCAAATAATGTGTCAGAAATGATTTAAATACTCTGATTTAGAGGCAACATTTCATGACCTTATTAAGTTGAAATTGGTTTTGAAAATTTTAATACAAGGCAAAAGCAAACTGAAATTATCATTACATAAAACACTAAACTAGTTCATTAGGTAACGTGGACGCTCGACATGGAGTATTGCGCTATAATCCATCCATATACATGCTTGTCTCGTACGTACACATGAACAAGTCGTCGCTATCAAAACTAGACCACTTAACGCGTTCTCAAAAGAACGGCGTCTCCTGATTGACATTTTCAGGCGGCACCGAGCCAAATACGGGGCTCTGCACGACTCCCACGCCAGCAGCGAGCGGGCGCTGGCCCCGCGCGCGTGGTTCCTCGGCCTCCCGCGGAGGGCCGCGATTTATTCGTCGGCCGAGTTCGAAGCGACGGCCGGGCCGTCGTGATGCATGCGGAATCACGAATTGAGCGGCATAATTGAAAGTCAAACAGCCCGGGATGATTTGTGGCTGTGTAATAAATAGGAGCGCTGCGGGCGGCGTTGCGAAAGTGACGGAGCGAGGGCCGCGCGCCACGCGTCACGCGCAGCGCCGAAGTGTGCAAACTGGCTCGCATTCTCAGGCTGCCTACGTGCGATAGACGTGCTTCCATTAATGAATTTTGGGGGAGGTTGTTGAGACGGTTCTCATTTTGATGTGATGTGTCCGAGAATACTGGTGTACTTGTAGGTTCCTAAAATAAAAGGAGTGTTCAAAAGTATTCACGTGTGAATATACGTACGTACTTTATTCAGCAAAGTATGAATTCAGCAAAGTTCATTAATATATTTTTAAGAAAATAAACATATTTTTATAAATACTTCTGAAAAAAACATTTTTATTTCATTGCCTACTACCTCTAGTTCAGGTTGTCTTAATTCTCGTCTCTCGAATTCTAAAATACAAAATCAATTTTATCGTATTGTGAGCATTCTATTGTGTACATCATCCCAATGCAAAATTTATATTCTTCCAAAAAATTAATAGTCTCTACCTTGTGAGACTGATGAAGGTTCAAAAAATCGAACCCGAGTCTGGTTTACGTCCAGCTTCTTAGCTGCCGAATAGATCAACGCTTTGAACTGGTTCTTGAGCGTGAGACCATAAATATAATACCCTTCACCCCGTGATATGACTCCCTTATGTGGCAAGATGGAAACGTACGAAGTACAATTTCTTGGCAGAGCTCAACCACGGAGCTCACTTCCAAAGCATTTCGCAAATTGGATATCGAAGTCTGATAAGCTGAGCAGCATTCTGCGGCAGAGAACCTTCATCTGTGCACCCCCGTACCGATTTCTTCCATAAATCAGAGCCACACCGCAGCCGCTGCCATCGAGCTATAATTATTACATTCAGAGCTCTCCCGTCGCACCCGGACGCGCCTTGAACTCAAGACACTCGGGCGAAACGTTTCGTGTCACAAAACATTAATCTCAAGGTGTCGTGTGCCGTGCCCTCCGTAACCCCTTTACAAGCGGAAACAATTTTTTTCCTCCTCTTAAATTTAATTAGCCCGCGGCGTAATTAATACAAGTTTAATTAGAGAATTAACTCATGCCGGTGAGACGGCGGTGACGCCAGCGGCCGCTGCGCGAGAAGGCGCGACGTCGCGCCAGCCGCGCCACCCCGCCCGACCGCCCTCCTCCCGCCCGTGACCTTAGACGACCCGCCCCTCCTCTCTCCCACCCTAGCCGCGCCCGAGGCCTCTCCACCGCTGCAATATATCAATTACCTCGCGGGATGTGGGCCCGATGCTGCTAATTGAGGTTCGCTTATCTCCCGTTTCCGCTCTTTTCGCCCGAGACGCGCCTCCCGGCGAGTCGGACCTTCGGATCTTAAATTTGTATTCCTTTCCGGGCAATGTGTACCACTAAGATATGGAGACTCATTCGCCAGGCCATGCATAGAAACTGCTTTCTTGAGAAAGGCAAAAAATCACAAATCGAGTAAATTGCAAATGTATTATGTGACAATTATTTCCTTGTAGCAATTAATTTTATCTAACTAGATTATCCAGAAAACTTGTTTTCAACATTTTTGATCGTGCGAAACAGACATGTGATGCGTGACGTCCAATTACAAAGTTCTCCTCGGGAATCTTGATGCTTTCAACTTCCTCTCTGGAATACATCCACCTGAAACCTGCAACGGCTAATAGACTTAAGTTGCGTCCTGTGAGCACCTGGAGAGCCGAATAGAGCCATGCTGCACCTGTGCCCAGCGGCGCCGTGGTCGACATAGGTCGATGTTGGAAGTCTCTCGACCCTCACTCCAACACCGCCTCTCGGCAGCCGATGGAATCACGTAGTGTTTTCGACCGCCGACGAATCGGTGTTCGTTAAATTTGAGCGGCGCGTTTTAACTTGGAAAGCGATTTTCTATCGCAAATTCTTACCATTAACAAACCGGAACATTTCGGATCTGTCACTTTTTAACATTTGTCTGACGCTATCAAAAACCAGTTACGCAGCCGCTGTTTTTCCGCTGCCCTCTCTTTTTGACAGGACGTAGGCGAGCGTTCTCTCTGCTTTGGGCGCCCATCAAATCAAACTGATGTAATGCAAGGAAGAGCGCGTAAACGGGCATGTAAACCCATTTACCGGCTAATTGGTATTTTCGAAACGGGGAGAAACAACTGGAAATTCAGTTTAGGCGGCTTCGTTCGCCCTTGTCTGATGATGGAGTGGCCGGCGCGCCCTTGGCTCCTACTCCGCTGTGACTGACGTCCCCCGCCCCCCGGTCCTGTACCAACATAGGAATGACAATAATTGGGCTAATAACGGGCAAGACAAGACAGGCCGGCCAACCTTTTGATTATTTAGTTGCGTATGATCTCGGACGCGAGGTCGGCCGGGACCTCCCGCGCCGCCGCCGGTGGACAGTCGGCCGCAACGAGGGGGCGTGGGCGTGGGCGGGGGCGGGGGCGGCGAGAGCGGGGACGCGGCCGAGTTCTCCGCTGCCTGTCAGCCGCCGCCCGGGCAATTACGCTGACGGCGGACGAGGCGGCGCGTCAGCTTGTCACGCGCCGTCGTGCGTCGCGCACGGCGAAGGGCCTCGCGCGTGCAATTTGGGCGATCGCGCACCGCACTGACGTCTCGGAGTGTGCAGCGCCGCAAAAAGCCTCGATGGCGGCGCAGGCAGGGGCAGGGGGCGCTCGCGGATGTGCGGCGGCGTCCCGGCGGCGTCGCGTGCGCCAAAGCGTCCCGTCGCCGTCGCCGCGGGCGCCCGCCGCCGCCGCCGCGGACGACGCCGCAAAGGTCGCGCCAGCACGAGAGCGCTCGAGGCCGGGCGCAGCACGCGGCGCTCGCATGGTCGCCCGCTCTCAAGTCCGGCGTCAAAGGGATTCACTTCGGCTCGCACGCCACGGGCGATCCCACCTAGAGTGCATATGCATTTACTCCGTTAAGATGTTTGCGTAGAATTAGTGTTAATTCAAAATATGTTTGTATGAATTTCTTAAGTATAATGGCGTTTGGTATTCCCTAATACGCAGTACGTTTTAGTTACTACATTATATCGCAAAAATACAGATTTGTGCAGTAATATATTTTAGATAGTAATATATTTGTTGGTGCAATTCCGTGAAAATATTTATAATAATAATAATAATAATAATAATAATAATAATAATAATAAATAGTACTATTATTGTTATTATTGTTGTTCTTATAAATTTTATTTTATGTCTTGTTATTAAATGTAGTGTGTTATTTTGTTGTACCATTAGTATGCGTATAGCATCTTAAACAATATTAACTTTCTCAAATTATGTAAATTTGTAATGCAAAACTAGATTGAATTCAAATAGAAAAACGCATTCCTAATATTTTGGTCAATTGATATTATTATTCTGCGGAGTGCCTTTGTGATATTTTTAATTGTGTATTGCCTGCATTACCAATTCTTGAGTAAACAAGTTGTGCGATGTGCCCGACTGACTGAGTGGTGTGTTTGGGTGTTGCAGCGCTGGACAAGCTGGGCTTCCGCCACCTGTTCGGCCAGAGCCCCGTGGAGCCCGTGCAGCCCAACGTGGCGTTCGACATCGCCAGCCTGGTGCTGTACGGCTGCCAGGCGCTGCCCATCCGCCTCAAGATCCTGCTGGACCGCCTCTTCTCCGTGCTGCAGCGCGACGAGGTGCTGCAGGTGCTGCACGGCTTCGGCTGGACGCACGAGGACTACGCGCGCGGCTACATTCTGCAGGTGCGTCCGCCCACGCGTCCCCCTCCCCTCCCCTCCCATGAATGCCCCACGGACGGGGACGAATGGCCCGCACGCCCCCATCACCGCAACCACACATTACGGCCCTCGTTACCATCAACAGTTAGATATTTGATACGCGTTAAACTGTAATTTTTTAGTTAACCTACTTGGAAATGGAAATCAACGTCATCAAAAGATTAGTTAAATGCACATGTTACATAGTTTTGGACGCAATGAAATTATTGTGTGGTTCACGCCCCCCCGGCGTTTAACATTATTGATGCATTTGAACATTGAGTCACAGAAACATATCTGTTTTAATGATGAAAAAACGCGACAGATTTCGTTAACCTGCTGGCATCTAATTGATTCATTTGTTACTCTGTTGTGGATAGAAATTTATTGTTTTCTTCCTTTCGAAATGACTGCTTGTTTTTGCGCATGATGGGAAACATCAAAATTTAATAACCTTATACTCGTTTATTTAGAAACATTTCGAAAGCTGATAATATTCATTCAAAATTGCGCATAGAAAGTGCACGGTGTTTGATTCACGGGTCACGTGGCTGAATTACGAAAATCGACCATCATTAAGACCATTAGTCAGTTAGAGTATATTATTCACTGTCACGGAATCTTGTGAAATAACATAGTTCAGTTGTGAGTTTCAATTACTTTTTCAGAATCGGGTACATTTATCATGGGAGTACATCGCAAATTACACGCATTTATTACTGACAAAATGCATGTTCAGTACGCGGACAAGCGTGAATAAAACGGCACCTCTTCCAAAGAGAAAACTTGCTTTCTCTGAAGCGATGCACCGAATCGTAATCGAGATCAATTCGACGCCGGAGAAGAACGTCGTCTGTCCCGCGGGAGCCGCTCTTTAATGAATAATGGATAAACGCGCTATAAACAAATAATTGCCGGGGAGGACGTCCCGGCGGCGCAGCGTCCGAAAGCGGCCGACCGTCCCCGATTACGACCGCTTTTATTTACGGAAATTAAAGGACAAAAGGGGCACCCAGACGACGGAGCCCGGTGTTTTGCTCAATAGCCGCGGCATCGAGTATCCTCGGCTCTGCAGTCCATTCTTTCGAAGCTGCTAAATTACGCTAAGAGACGTAACAGGCCTATTACGAGACATATTTTCGAAATGTGAGGGTACGAATACGCAGCGCACCCTCTGGTTCTTTGTCGTGGGACCGATACGTAAACCAGACGGACAGCCCCGGGACGTGGAGCGCTCTGCGTAGGCAAACGCCGGACCCAAAAGAAAATATTTTGATAACAGTCGCGCCGGCGTTCCCTCTGGAGGACAGTCAGCGAACCTATCATTGCGCCCTATTAACGCGCAACCGAGACCGTAATCGCAGCCGGCCGTTTCGCTCGGTGACAAAGTATAGCGCTGGACGATTCCGGGGGCATTTACGCTAATAAGCGGCCGTCTCGGGCTTTCTTATTACTTTTGTTGTTACCTTGGAAACGCGCGCGACTGAGACGGAGGTATAAATGCTTTCCGACCACAAATAAACGCTGTGCAGTGCGGCGTCGCGAATGGGGCGTGTGCGAGCGGGTAAAAAATAAAAATAATAAAAAAAGAAGGGAAGAGAATTTACAACTCCGCGGCGCGTCGGCGCTTCACCTCTTCACACTCCAGAGAGCAAACATTTGTTTGTGCAAGCTATCCCGACGTATTGAGCCTTCCTTTTGTGGGAGATCGGAGGACGAGGCGTGCTCGCAACGCATCACTGCGCTAGGTAAGCGTCCGTGGACCGCATATCGCTCGCTCTCGCCGTGAATAAATTTCACAGCGTTTTACTTGGCCTAATGGATCATCGGCGGCGGCGCCAAACACCCGAGAACCCTTCGCTCGGGCTGGGCGCAGCCCCGGTCGTTTATTTCATCTTTGCGTTTTAATTTCAGCGGGCACGCAGAGACAAAAGAACACCCCGGGGAGTCTGCGGAGCGGGCGAGAGAAGATACAGGATCCGCTTGCCGGGAATCGGAGCGGCGTGTAGAAAAACCGGCATAATATTTTAAAATAATAGCTGATTAAGTCTGTTTCTCTCGGAGAGACAACTGTTAAATAGGATTCGGGAGAAGATTGCAGGGCGGAGGGGCGGGGCCGCAGCCTCACAGGTGGACGGGACGGCTCGCCTCGAGAGCGCCCGTGGGAAATCCGAGAAATTAAGCGGGATCCGGGGGCGCCGCGGGCCCCCCGGGGCCCGCCCAGGGGGCGGCCAGCCGCGGGCCAGGGCGCGGGCGCGGGCGCGGGCGCGGGGCGCAGCGGGCCCTCTGATTATGGTGATCGCGCCGAGCGGAGGAAAACATGCCATTTAGGCTACCGGCGCTGCGCTGTCCCGCCGTAATCACAGCCGCGAGCTCGCAGTCCGGCCGCGGCGCGGCGCCACCGTCGCGGCTCCCGAACCGAAATCACACAGCCGTAATAATGGCTGCCGCGACGAGATGTCGTCATTTGTATGAATCCGTTGTAAAACAATTTTGAGAGGCTACTCACGTCTTGGTGTTTTCGAAATTACACCTTTAATACTATGCGATTCGTGTCAGTTATCATAATACCGGAGGACTTTGATGGGGTTTAACAAGCGTAGAACGTTGCGACTGACTCAGTCCTCGAAGATGCGGGCATCTTCTCTTCATTTAACGAAAGTTGTATCACCGCTTTAGTCGTCGGGAGCATTAATTATTTTCCGGTAATTGCCTGCGCTCTAATTGACGTTCTGCATGCGTGGTCTGGGTTTTTGAATCATTGATACATAATCATACCACGATCATTACCAGGCACTTTGCATTCTTACACTTCCCTCTATTGCGATACTTAGAGTCACCGAAGCGACTCTATTGAAAAAAGAACCGTAGAAGAAGCACCGCCGCGGAAGACTTGTGTCTTGATTTTATCGACCCTCGTCGCCTGCGGTATACAAAAAGGCTCAACAATAAACACATCGTCCACAAGAACAAGAGCGGAGTGGGCGGTCGAGAGTTCCCAGTGCGCACCTGTCCATCGAAGCAGTCGCCGACCACCCATAAATATCGACTCGTTGATTCTCCGATACGTTTCGAGAAATCGTGTAAACTTACACAAGCGCTTCTAGAGGAGCTCTCCTACGCATTTCAAATTCAAAATATCTTTCCCAGGAAACCGACTTGTGTGGATGTTCCATCTACGCCTACGGTCATTCAGCAGGAAACGGATAACATGTGCTACATTCGCTCTGGGCGCTTTTCGCCTCCATGCGTTCAGCATCCGAAGCTCCCCACTCTAATGACCGCTCACGAAGAAGGGCCGCCATCATTCCCTCTATACAACCCTCTCCCAGCCTTTCACCTCTTGCTAAAGGAATTCTGCATCTCCATTTAATATCTCCTCTAATTCATTTCCATCGTCTCTTTCACTAATTCCATTCTACGTGTTTTACCATATTCATTTTTCACCAGTACCCATCTATCAAGCTAGAGACGAAAATCCTGCTAAGATCGGGAGGCGCCGCATTACAGTTTCAGCGAGTCCAAATTTTGTAACTTTGTCATCAATTCAGCCCGCCACTTGAATCGATTCTCAATTCTCTCAATTCTAATTCTCAGATCAATTCTCCCACTCGAAACGGCACGCTCTATTTCATCCGTCAACCCGATCTGTCCCCCACTTCTTCGATGGTCTCGACGTCCTCTTTACACGTTGCCGTTCCGGCCTCCGCCCGATCGCCGGACTTGGCGTTTGCGGTCGTTCGTGCTTCGGAGCTTCTTCCCCCCCCCGCTGCCGCCGCTCTACTGTTACGTCGCTGGGCCCCTCCGCGCCGCGACCGTGTCTCCATCTTCGCCGCCGCCGCCGCCGGGCGACGCGTGCTCACCCCTTCCGCGGCCCTAATGGCTGATTCAATTAGGGGCGCGGGCGCTGACGAAGCGGCCTGCGGCGGTTGTTGCTCGCCCGCCCGCCCACTCGCCCACTCGCCCACCGCGCCGCGCTGCTCGCCGCGTCGGCCGGCTTCGGGTTTCTTGTGGGCGCGCCACCCCACTACGCCCGCCTTTCGTTTCGCCCGCCAGCGCCCCACACTCGTGGCTCAGGACATCAACTGATGTCATTGCAGTGTCTCTGACTGGGAGGTCTATGGGTCGAGTTCCGATCATCGCAGGATTTTCGTCACTAGCTTAGATAGCTGGGTACGGTCGTATTAATCAGAGCACACGGGAAGCGAAGGCTCGGAGCAACAACTGTAGCTAGTGCAGCGTCCCTGACCTGGGGTTCCACACCCGAAGCTAGCGGCTTTTCGGCTCTGGCTGTATTGGTAGGCCGAATTCACCCGCTAACTGGAGTAGAGTTCTAGCGACTGTTACCTCTGATCGGTAGTTTTCCGTGATTTCTCCAAAAAGAATCGCAGACGAATGCCGGAGCATTGTCCTAACAAACGAGCCACGATTTTCAAGTGATCTTTCCTTCCTCATTCATGTCCTTTCCCCTCACCTTACACGCACACACTTACACGTGCATGCACATCACTACCACATGTGTTCGGAGGCCCGTCGGAATTCTTAGAGCGTGTCCAGGCAGGGGCGGGGTCCCGCGAAGAGAGATACCTGGAGAGGGAATTTCCCCGCACGTCAACGTGTGGGTCGGCGCCGGTCTCTGCATCCACCGCTTCTTCCCGCGATAAAACATTAACTACACTAACGGCAGTCTCGAGCATAACAGTTGGTCTTACTGGAAGCACGAAATAATCAATGAACCCTCCCTTTGTGACCCTTTCGTTTCTCGGCCGCCACTTCGGTCGATGCCGGTGGCTGTTGCGGTGGCGCTCTGTTGCCGATCCGTGCTGCCGTGTGTGAGTCGCCCTCCGCCGCTCACCGCAGACTGACGGGAGCGTCTTTCGGGTTCTGACGGGAGAAGAAAAGGGGACGGCGAAGAAGCGTACCGCAATGTTGTCGCGCGGTTTTGTTGCCTTCAGCGTTCGTTTTCGTTACCTTGTTCGACAATTGCAGACCTTCTACGGATTACGATTACGGTTCTCAAGATATATTTATGTTCAAATTGTTATTTAAATATTTAATTTGAATACGATAGCTTCAGATTTTAAAATAAAACTTTCAAAGAAGTAAAAAAAATGAAGTAGAACTTTTTCGAATCAAAATTTTAGGTCAATTTTCTAAATGTTAAAATATACTTTTTTATAACAAGTTAAAATATGCAACTTTAAATATAACATAAATTAATTATCACTAATACAAATTTTCTAGCTGTATTCCTTCAACTTTAACTTGCGTAAGCCTCGGCAGTTAGTATCAATCACGTTTCCTTTCGTTCATCATCTCACGGGCATGTGTCCCAGTTCGGCGCTCTAGATTCTTCCAGTCCTGAAACTCCTAGCAGCACGCAGTTAAGTGCAGAGCAGAACTCTTCCTCGTGGCGTCGGCTTTCACTCGGCTTCACCTGTCGCCGGCGCGCCCGTCAGCCCCCGCCGTCGGCCCGTATGGAGCGCGCCGCGGCGCCGGGGCGGAAGGTTCGCGACGCGCGCGGTTCGCTCACGCACGGGCGCCCCCGGTGGCGGCGGCGGCGGCGGCAGAGGAAGAAGCGGCCAACTCCGCCGGCGCTTCTTAATTCCATTACCAGGGGTTCCGTTTCCTTTTAGCGAAGAGTCGCTCTCGCTGTCGCTTTCACTTAATAGAGCACTTAATCAAGGGAGCGCCGCGCGCGGGGGCGCCGGCGGGGCGGGGGAGGTGGAGGAGGAGGCGGCGGCGTGTCGGTGTTGGTGT